TAGTGTGTAATGTCCCGTAATACTTTTTACTTACTGTTATCCATGAAACTTATTACTGGTTAAAGAGTGTATATTATAATTTGCATACGGTAAATGTCCCTATCAAGACCACACATTTCACCATATCAAATCAAAATATGCATCAGCAACTGATGTACTTTTTCCATTATAGTAACATACATATCATACTCGATGTCTTTGAATACTTTCAAATCTTGATATCTCTTGGTATGTTTTTTCAGATAAATGTTGATGAAACCGGAGCAAACACATTATTAACTACCGAACAACTTCATGAACTATTAACAAGAATGTTTATATCCTGCAACATACCATTTCGAGTAGTTGAAAGCTTACACTTCAACGACTTTGTGGAAGCTTTGCAAAAATGTGAGAATTTTTACACACCTCCTTGCAGGCAGACTTTGGGCTCTTCTTGTGTACAACGTGTTCATAAGAAAATTACTGAGGAGAGGTTTAAGTTGCTCAATAACACACCAAGTGTTTTGTTAGTCGATCGTTGAAAGAATAAGAGCAACAACAAAAAATATCTAGTTTTTTCTCTTAAAAATAAGAATACTCCTCACACCTTTTTGACATTTTTAGATTACGCTTTACAGTCAGAGGATGGAGAGTCTTTAGCCATTGCTATAAGTGATGCCATGGTTTTTGCCAAAGAAAACTACAACATTGAAGTATTTAGTGTTGTGACTGATAACGACAGTAAGATTGTTTGTGGAGCCCGTTTAGCTGACTCGTATGAGAAAACACATTTATGGCAATCAACATGCAGCAGTCATAGTGGTAATTCATTTTTAAAGACCCTCGTTGATCCCACGTTTGCTGAGATAGTGCGTTAAATAGTTTATGTATTTCGGGAACCAAAATTGCAGTTATTAATAATTAACCACGGTGGTTCAAAAGTGCAAAATTATCCCGATACACGTTTTGGATATTTTAGGGACAGTTGTCAATCTATTCAGAAAAATTTAACTAAAATGCAACAAGTAGCCATGATGGAAAATATTCGCATAAATAATCATGTTTTCAAT